CGACGGAGCAGGATGAGAGGGAGGGGCCGGCGACAGAGAGGGGGTGGGCCGGTGGGGCGACGGGCGACGACGGTGCTCGTCGGGCGGGAAGAAAATAGGAGAGGAGAAAGAGAGAGGGCGACGGCGGGGGCGTGGCCCGTTAAATTATTTTGAAGCTTTGTCGTCCGCCTCGCCTTTGCTGTCTGCTCGCAGATAGCAAAGAGGTGTCCCGTTAGGGTTTAACAGCTTGTGGGCCAAACCCCCTCTTTGTCGTCTGCTAGCGGACAACAAAATGTTGGCTGATGGCAAAGCCCTCCTTTGTCGTCCGCTACCTCTTTGTCATCTGCTTTCTCGTGGCTGATGGCAAAGCCATTCTTTGCCGTCTGCTAGCAGACGAAAAAGAGGGGGCAGACGACAAAGAGGGGGCAGACGGCAAAGAGGGGGCGGACGGCAAATCTGCTTATTCCAGTAGTGCCTTCCTGAAAAGATGATGAATTTTAATTGCAAAGTTGACTGAGAACATAGTTTGTTGGTTTCTAATGGAGCTTATACTTTATACTTCGATGTTGTGATGAATTGTTACTTGTTCATGAGAAGTCTATGATAAAAGCTTTATGTTAAAGTTTTATTCCTATTATAATAAGTTATATGATGTTGCTATGTCCATGTTTTTATTTTTGTCGACACCTCCCTCTCTCTCTCTCTAAGCATGTGGACATATTTTTCGATTTCTGTTTTCGCTTGAGGACAATCAAGGTCTAAGCTTGGGGGAGTTTGATACGTCCATTTTGCATCATGTTTACCTACTGTTTTTATGTTGTTTTGTTGCATAATAATACTTTTTGGAGTAATTCTAATGGCTTTTCTCTCATAATATGCAAGGTATGCATAAAGGGGGAGAATTCTGGCAGCTGGAAAACTGGACCTGAAAAAGCTACGCCAGGTACCTATTCTGCACAACTCCAAATGAGCTGAAACTTTACGAGGACTTTTTAGGGAATAAATAAGATTTTTTAGAGACAATAAGTACTAGAGGGGGCCCACCAGGTGGGAGAAACCCACCTGGGCGCGCCATGGAGCCCAGGCACGCCCTGGTGGGTTGTGCTCACCCAGGTCCACCTCCGGTGCCCCTCTTCTGGTATATACGTTATTTTGACCTAGAAAAAAAAGGAGAGAATTTTCGGGATGAAGCGCCGCCGTATCGAGGTAGAACCTGGGCAGGAGCACTTTTGCCCTCCGGCGGAGCGATTCTGCCGGGGGAACTTCCCACCCGGAGGGAGAAATCATCGTCATCATCATCACCAACAACTCTCCTATCTTGGGGAGGGCTATCCCATCAACATCTTCAACAACACCAACTCCTCTCAAACCCTATTTCATCTCTTGTGTTCAATCTTTATACCGGAACTATAGATTGATGCTTGTGGGTCACTAGTAGTGATTATTACATCTTGTAGTTGATTACTATATGATTTATTTGGTGGAAGATTATATGTTCAGATCCATTATAATATTTAATACCCCTCTTATCTTGAGAATGATTATCATTTGTGAGTAGCTTGAGGTCACGTGATAAATCATGTTGCAAGTAATCATGTGAACTTGATATGTGTTCGTTTTTTTATGATATGTATGTTGTGATTCCCTTAGTGGTGTCATGTGAACGTCGACTACATGACACTTCACCATATTTGGGCCTAAGGGAATGCATTGTGGAGTAGTTATTAGATGATGGATTGCAAGAGTGACAGAAGCATAAACCCTAGTTTATGCGCTATTCCGTAAGGGATTGATTGGATCCAAAAGTTTAATGCTATGGTTAGAATTTATTCTTAATACTTTTCTCGTAGTTGCGGATGCTTGCAAGGGGGTTAATCATAAGTAGGAGGTTTGTTCAAGTAAGAACATCACCTAAGCACCGGTCCATCGACATACCAAATTATCAAAGTAGCGAACACGAATCGAACCAACATGATGAAAGTGACTAGATGAATTTCCCGTGTACCCTCAAGAACACTTTGCTTATCATAAGAGACCATTTTGGCCTGTCCTTTGCCTCAAAAGGATTAGGCTACCTTGCTGCACTTTTGTTACAACTACGGTTACTTGTCCGTTACAAATTGTCTTGCTATCAAACTACTCTACTACTTACAATTTTAGCACTTGCAGACAGTACCTTGCTGAAAATCACCTGTCATTTTCTTCTGCTCCTTGTTGGCTTCGACACTCTTCCTTATCGAAAAGGCTACAATTGACCCCATATACTTGTGGGTCATCACAGGACATGTGGGTCGCGGCGAGCGTGGGTGATGCTTATAGCCGGCGGGCTCTCTCGCCGGAGCTCGCCGACCACCCAACTCCCGTGCGCCTGTGGTGAGAGCGGAGATGAGAGGGGTCGGGGTCAGTGGCGGAGCTTGAGCCAAAATTATAAGGGGGGGGCATGGGTTGGAGGGGGGCAACATGATTACTTCCAGCTGATTTTTAGTAAAAAATAGACTTAACACAAAGGAATATATACATGTTTTATTGTTAGCTTGGGGGAGGGCAGTGGCGGACCTAAAATTCCAGGCTCGGGGGTGCCATGGTTGGAAGTTTACACTAAACATCACCATAGTATCAACAAATAGTCTCAAAACATCAACAAATTGATGTGGGGCATGACTCAAGTTGGCCCCACGAAGCTCGGCCACTGGTCGGGGTGGATTTTTTGCTGCGTAGGCTCACATGGTTATGTCGATGATAGAAGGGGAAGACGATATTTGATGTGCGTGAGCGAATTGAACGGCGCGTGGGCGACCGGTCTGGTGTTCGGATCGGCCGCCCGGCGCCTAGCACCGGCTCTTTTGGCAAAGTACATTCCACATAAACTTGTTCCGATTTTCGGATCAGCAAAAAAAAAATATCACATTTAATCTGCCGGGCCAACTGTCATTTCATTGTGAACCATCAATCAACAAATTGAAACGGATATATCAGTATCTTCCAATCTGCCACAAAGATCTAGTGACAAGGGCAAATATCTTTGCCTTCTTCCAAACATATCACAGGAATCCTTGGCGCTCGTCGCGTGGGCCTCGGTCTCGCCCTCGGCGCAGTACCGGGACATGTGCCCGCCCAGCGCCTTATGTACACCCTGCCCAGTAGCGGCACGGAGCACCGCCGCGCTCTTGCATTTGGCGCAGTTCTCCGAAGGCGTCAGGTTCAGGTCCAGGCAGATCCCGGCGTCGTCGCACGAAGCCACCACCATCTCGGTCGCCGCCGCCGCCTTGCTGCTCGGGGCGTTGGCCCCGGCCTCGGCCTCGGCTTCGACGCGGTGCCGGCGCATGTGCCCACCCAACGCCTGGCCGACGGCGAACTCGAGCCCGCAGATGGGGCACTCGTGCACCCTCGGCCTGGCCGGCTGCGGCGGCGCCTGGGGCGCCCGGCGGCCGAGGCAGAGCGCTGCGTCGTCGTCGACGCCGACGAGCGCGTGCTGCGGGGGTGGGTGGTGGAGCCTGGGGCGCTTGTGGCTGGCGCGGTGTCCCCCGAGCGCCTGGAACGTGGGGAACTGCCGGTTGCACGTCTTGCACTGGAACACGCGGCCGCCGGTCATCGCCTGCGCCGCCTCGGCGACGCCGCGGTGGTGGTGCTGGTGCTGGTGCTGCTGGGCGAGGAGCATTAGCAGGCGGGTCGTGTCGAGGCTGCCCAGCTCCATGTCCCACACGCCCCTGCCTCTCTTGCTCATGGCCGATGGCTCTCGACAGTCGGCTCTGGACTCGATCGCTGGCGGGCTAGTCCCCCGACCAAAAGTCGCGGCGAGCTACTCGATCGTGTAAAATCACTTTCGGCTAATCGGCTGATTGCTGCACTGTGTAATGCATATGTGGCTCTGGGTTGTCTTGTCTGGCCGATGCCTCTATATATAGTGCCTACTTGGGGTTTGGTGCACGTACGAAATGGGGCACGCACGCACGACCACTAGTGCCCACCAAGTCTTGGTTGGAGTACGTACGGCTGGCTTCTAGACGTGGACGTGTGTGCATGTACTTTTCTGGCTGTTTGACCGCTCCCGCGCGGTGTGGGAGTCTATGGTACGTACACGTAGTCCCGATCTACGTTCAATTTCGTCATGTGAGTCTAGCTAGTGGCAGTAGCTAGTCTAGTCAACATGTGTGTGTTCGAACGAGCTGACTCTTCTAGAGCGGCTGGCTGCCGCGTGTTGAAATATATTGCCCGCCTTTTTCCATCAGTTCGGACTTTTGGATGAGTTGGCTGAAGCATGAATTCAATATGGTATCCGAGCCAAGAGGTCTTGAGTTTAAGATCCTGCCAACGCATTATTAAATAAAACGATTATGCGGCCTACATCGATCCCAAGTCTAAGGACTAAAATAGCCTAGACATGAGGGGGAGTGTTGAAATATATTGCCCACCTCCCTCCATCAGTTCAGACTTCTGGATGAATTGGCTGGAGCATCAATTCAATACCGCGCGCCGCGGCGGAGCATGTGCGCGGGTGGCGTTCTGCCTTTGGTTCATTCACCGTGCGTGCGTGTTTTACTTCCGCGCGGGCGGCGATCTCGACCGGCCTCTGCGCGGGCGGCGGACCGGGCCGCTGGTAGACCCATGGATTTTTTCGGATAATCAACTTTTGGTCTTCTTTCTTTCCAAAGAACGAATGATCAAGTTTGGTAATGACGAGAGCAACTTTGCAGCAGCCTAATCAAATGTTATCGTGTGTCAGCCCGTGTTCTTAGCCATGCCATTTGTCAGGAATCATATTCAAACAAACATAATTAAAGGTCTTGTGGTTTAGAATTTAAAACCAACTGGTTGACTAACCCGGCCAATTAATTAAGGAGAAAAGAGAAGATCGGAAAGAGAGACGAAGCTTGGCTGGGCTGCAAGGTATTGTTGGTGACATTGGACAAATGATGCCCTGCATATGCCGTCGTTAGGAAGGGTGCAGTGCACTGCAGTCTGGTCTTGGCGGCAAAACGATTTGACCAATCTAATCCGAATGAAAATGACTGGATCTTACGTCCCGCAACAAATCGTATTTCTAGCTCATTAGTGCGTCGCATGTCGTATTACCTCCGACCAATGTATTTAAGACAAGTAATCTGGGACGGAGTGAGTAGTATGTATGAATGTATTTTGCTTGGTTCGCCGGGGTCCCAGTCCCACCCAATTCCTTTCTGCGCGTAAATAATTAGATACTTCGATGATCAAGTACACTACGTCTCTAATCATGATGTAGCACAACTAATGCACGTCCTTTAATTGTTTTCTAGGCCCAAAATTAAACAAATGAAACTAATAGCATATGCACACATTAAAAAGATGTCGTCGGAACCCTTCAGCCTCACAAAAGTATGGCACAACCATTCTCGAGTATAAGAGCATCTTTAATAGCCGCGTTATACTAGCGCCGCGCCGCAAATTAGACCGTTTTAGCGCGCGCGACGCGGCGGGTCGCTCCAGCGGACGCGCAAAAACGGCGCGCGCGCTATAACGGGTTGGACGCGCAGTCGAAAGCACTATCCCGCGCGGTGTATTTCGGGCGCCTGCTACAACGCGCGGCACACTCGACCGCTCGCGCCGCACTCTCTCCTCTCCTCCTCCTACGCCCCGCGCGCGCCGGCGCCCTGCCACCCATGGACGCGCCCACCGGCACCCCGCTCACCCCGCTGTACAGCCGCGACCCCCCGCCGTCGTCGTCGCCGCTGCCGCCGCCGCCGCCGCCGGAAATCCTAGCGCGGGGAGCGTTGGCGGCGCCACCGCCGGAGCTCCCCCGAGTGTCGGCCTCGCGCGCAGCCTCTTCTTGCCGTCGCGGATGACCACGGCGACAGGTGGCGTCGCGCCGGCGCCGTCCCGTGTCGCCGCCGCACCGTCGAAGCTCCCCAATGCGGCATGGGTGGCGGTGGCCTTGGCGCCATGGGAGGCATGGGTGGCTTGGGAGCCATGGGAGGCATGGGTGCACCTCCGGCCGCCATGGGAGGCATGGGTGGATTTGGAGCACCCTCTGACAATATGGCCGCCATGGGAGGCATGAGTTTCGCTTCTCTTATGGGAGGCATGGGTGCACCTCCGGCCATGGGAGGCATGAGTTTCGCTCCTCACACACATTCCCATGAAGATGCCGTTGAAGATCTTGCCAACACCGTCGGAGCTTCACCTGATGCGATGCGTGATGAGGATAGGGAGGAAGATTCATCTTCGGAGGCAGAAGAATCGTCTTCCGAATATGAGGACGAAGACGAGGAAGATGTTTGATGTGTCTTTCGTTTATGTCTTGAACTTTAGTTTGCATTTTGAACTTGGTTGGATGAACTTGTGGGCATGGACTTTTATTTTCGTCAACTTGTTTGTGACAAATTTCACATGTTCATTGCATTTTGATGATTGTTTCAAACTCATTTTGTTGCTAAAATGACATGCCCGGCGAGTCGCGCGGGCTGTATTTTTGCGCGCTGCTGGAGCGGCGCGCGTGCTGCATTATAGCGCGACCGCTGGAGGCAGCGCTGGCGGCCGCGCTAAACCAGTCGAAACGCGCGCGGCAAACATGTTTTTTGCGTGCGACGCATAGCGCGGCTGTTGGAGATGCTCTAAGCTCTTTGCATAGCCGAATCCTCACCACGCGGAGAATCTGACAATCAACAACTATCCCATAGCCAACCTATCAACTGTGACTTGTGAGCAATGAGACGGTTGTGCATCTATGTAAGGATCGCCCTTCCTCGCAAGAGGTATGGAAGACAGTCAATGTTTAGACAGGCCTTTCACTGTAGTCTATGTGACAGAGAGGAGGAATCGTCATTCCATGCGCTGCTAGTATGCCCTAATGCTGCTCGCATGTGGGACACAATGCAACTGTCATGGCCTTTGCCTAATAGGTCGGATATCACATGCACTGGCTCGGAATGGTTGCTGCATCTTCTTGCTGAATAGGACGAACATATCAAGAGCAGGATCATCATGGTGCTATGGCGGACATGGCATCTTCGGAATGAACTTACGCATGGTAAAATCATCCCCCCAGTGGAAACATCTCGGTCATTTCTTTCTAGCTATTACAACACATATCAACAAATCTCGTTGAGTGTCGAGGAGATTTTGAAAGGGAAGACTCTGGTGATGGATGTGAGGCATGGTGCAGAGCCCCAATTTGTGGAGAGCAAACACCGTCAGCTATGGCCAAGTCTGGCGGTGCATGAGGTAGCACTTTCAGTAGATGGCTCGTTTGAGTCTGAAGATGGGTCGGCTGGATCGGGCATGATTCTTAGGGACAGTAAGGGGGCTGTCATCTTTGCCTCGTACCATAAGCTCTTCCATTGCAATGATGCCCTCGAGTCAGAACTACAAGAAATGAAAGAAGGTCTAAAGCTCGCCACTGAGCACTCTCAAGCTACAATCATATTACAATCTGACTGTGTTGTGGCACTCAAGATGCTTGCGGATGTCTCCTCCAACAGATCAGCATATGGCCATTTGGTGTCGGAAATCAAGAATTACATGAGTAATAGGGTTGTTATTCCTGTTAAAATTCTTCGTGAATAGAATAGGGTTGCACATTGTTTAGCGAACTTTGGTAGATGTGGTGATAGCACAGCCTGCTGGTTGGGCCGTCCACCTCCATACATCAGCAGTCTAGTCGATGAAGATTGTAACACTATCATTTTGGAATAAAAACCCTATGATTCTTCGTAAAAAAGAAAAGAAAAGAAAGCATTAACCAATGGTGGGATGACTTACTTTATCACCCCTTAGATCATAAAGCACATGTCTGGTACTAATTTGAATTATGAGTTGTGGAACATTTGGAAGAGAAAGAAACAGTGTAATTTTATTGTCCCAAGATAGACCTATGAGGAGGTGACTCATCTAGCTTTGGCAGAGATCCACATGCATAATTCTTGTATCTTTTTACTGCAGGAGTAGTTTGCATGCCATCTCGGGGATCCAGCTAAGCCTCGCCAAAAAAACAGTTCTAAATGTGTGTAGCAAAACTCTTATCTTGTACTCCCACCGTTGCTAAATATTTGTTTTTCTAGAGATTTCAACAAGTGACTACATACGGAGCAAAATGAGTGAATCTACACTCTAAAATATATCTATATACATCCGTATGTAGTAGTCTATTTGAAATCTCTAAAAAACAAATATTTAGGAACGGAGGGAGTAATTGAAAGGCATAATAAAAAAGGAAATATACCGTTTCTTCTGTTTGTATGGCTCGGTTTCAAAGTAGCTAAGGTTTCAAGCCAACACAATCATGCGAGGCTTATTTGGTTGCAGGATTTATTTATTTGTTTACGAAATTTGGTTGCAGGATTTCAAAAACATATGGAAATAAGAAAACATAAAATTAATGCTACTTACTGTAGGAAAAATAAACATTCTCACAATTTTTAGTCCAACAAAACAAACAATTATTATAGGAAATTCTTGCCACAAAATGAAACGGGAAGTAGTGGCTGAACCCCAGCTCGGTGCACCAAAGCTACACCCACGCAAGAAAACATAGCAAAATCTTTCAAAAAATTCTGAAACTTTGGAATGACTATGAACAAATGTTAGAAGTGCTTGCAAAGTTTTGTGGTCAAATGATATCCGAGGAGCATTGTACATTTTTTTTTACAAATTTTGCCCAAAAGTGCACATACATTTTGAGTATTTTTTTTTGTACAGAGGTACTCGAATGTCATTTGACAAACAAACTCTGCAAGCACTATCATTCCCACA